GGCCTCGGCACCGGCGGTCACTCGGTCTCTCGCCTCGCAGGTCTCCGGAGCGGGCGGGCGCCATGAAGCGGTCTCTGCTACGGCTCTGCCAGTCGCGGGAGAAGGCGGCCGTCTCCAGCTCCTACCAGGGCGTCGTCTGCGAGGCGGATGCCGCCTCCGTCGCCTCGCAGGATGTCTTCAAGGTGCGTGCGTGCGGAGGGGCGCGGGGGGGCGGCGGGCCCGAGGGCTGGGGGCGAGTGTGAGGGGACAGCCTCGGGGCAGCCGAGCTGCCCGAGGCACCGAGGCCGGCGTGGGAGTGGGACAAGATGGTGCCCAAGAATGGGGCTCGCGTGAGGGCGTCGGGACAAGGAGGGGTGAAGGCGGAGAGCGAGGCGGGCGAGGGTGAGATGGGGCTCTGGAGGCAGCCGGGCGGGCTCGGCGGTGGTTACGTCCCGGAGGCGCTTTCTGCCGGGAGGGTCGTCAGCGGAGCCGTGAGGGAAGAGCCGTGAGGAGCGGGAGACAGGCTGGGAGCCGCCCTGGCCGAGGGGGATGAAGGCGCGGAAGGAAGGCCGTGCTGTTGTGTGGCCAAGTCTGGACCGGGGCGAGCAGGAAGGCGGGAGGAGGGCGGGCGAAGGAGGATGAGGGGTGGGTGGTGGGGGGCACACCGCTGCCGTGGGGCTCACATCCCCCTTGGGCATGGCTCCCCAGAAAGAGTCCCTCTCTGAGAGGGAGGTCCAGAGGTCGCGATGGGAATGAGTAAGCCATCGAGAAAAAATGTCACGAAAGGAAAGGTAAGAAGCACTGGAACCGTTACGAAGGGCAAGGGAACCAGCAGCACAACCTACAGATGCAAAATTGCTGCATAAGGAAGGGTATAACCTCTTCCTTTTCCATAGGGAGTAGGACAAGAAGTGATGTATTTATGTTGCAGCTAGGGACACCTAGACCAAACGTTAGGGAAGCCTTTTTTAAGGGTAAGCATAATTAAGCAAAGGAAGTGGTTGCTTACCGGACGGATGACTTGGGTAACTTTGAAGATTTTTAAGAGCAGGCTAAACAAATTTGGCAAAGTATGTGGATGGGTTTAAAAAGCTCTTGAGATCATTACCAGACTTGTTTGCTGTGTGCTGGCTGCATCCCTGAGCAACACGTCTTCAGCATAACACGGCTTGTCACTCCGGTGGGTGATCTGCCACTACAGAGCTGTTCAGACAAAGTGCAAAGGAGCTGCTGTTTGTTTAAAATAGCTTGCTTTGCTACTTTTGAGCCAACTGAAATACTGAGAACACCTAACTGATATCTTCCTTTCCTGTTTTGTTAATGAAACACTGAGGTATTGGCTGAAAAATCTTATTTTTGTTGGTAGGAATTTTCCTCATGCCACATTTCGGCCATATTTTGTCTCACATTGACAAAAAATTCCAATGTAAAGAGTGGCAAAATGTGGTCTAGATCAATAGAAAGATTTGGAATTCATTACAATTAAAATTAAGTTAGAATATAAGTAATAGAAGGTACTGGGCTTTATAATAAGGTTTTCTTACATAGCTTTTTGATGTGTATAAAATGTATAGATATTTATGTATGTAATTGACCTCTTATTTTTATGACAGGTGAGTCATCTTAAATACCCTTTCCACAACGATGTCCCCTGTTTTCTGTTAGCTTTTTCTAATTGCATTTTTGAAACGGAGGCTACATCTGTATTTGGCCTCAGTCTTCTAAGTCTTTAAACGCATTTGTAACATCATTCACATAAGTAATGTCACTGAGATCAATGGGACTATTAAGCTGAAAGAAGTTAAACACATGCTTAAACATATGAATGGGCTGCCCCATAATGTATACTTGCTTAATGACAGCAAAAACTGTTGAGTCTTTGTGGCTCAGGGGATCCTGGAGAGCAAACTTTTCCTTTTCTTCTGCAGCTGAGGAGGGAACAATGATTTTTAGGGGATTTCCTTTTCTTTACCCTTTGCTTGCTTACACATCTTTGGGAAGGTTTGCATTAGTTTTGATATGCATTCTCTTCCCCGCCCTCCCCCCGCCCCTCAATTTTGTTGAATTGTTTTTCTTTTTTATTCTCTCTTTTAAATAACTTGTTTTTAAATTCCTGCCGTTCTACTGCGATTGGTTGCTCTGACATAAAGAACATCACAGAAAACCGACAGCTAAACTTTAAAGCCCAGGATATAATATCAGTCTCTGTAGAAAGGTGTAGAAAATTAATTTATCAAGATTATTAATTTTTCCTCTCTTGAATTCATTTGATGTGGCCACAGCTGGAGAGAATATAAAACAGTAAGTGCTGAATTTGCTTGATTGAGATTTTCTGTGGTGGAGGGAATATCTTGAACTCACTACAGAAGACAAAATAATGTATTCAAGGTAATTTCCATTTTTGTTAATTTTTGCACTGTTTCTCAACTGGATCTGATCTTGCAATCAATCTAATCAATCTGAGTTTCAGTGTTGACTCAGTCTGATCAGGATTTGTATACGTCTGTATGAAACTAAAGAGCTGGGAGAGAATTATCGAGTGGTAACATGCCCACAGTAACACATTATAACATTGCTAACATTGCCTATTAGGAAAATGAGAATATTTGTGTCCAAAATAGGTGATTTCAGATGGAAGTGCCTGTAGGCTACGGAGCTTCATTAAGAAGAATCGTTCTGGGCTTACGAAAGTGGATGAATTAAATGCCACTCCACTGCATCATGCTGCAGAAGGAGGTCAAATAGAATTAATGCAGTTGATCATAGACGATTCTTCCTGTGAAGGTAACACACATTTTATGAACTATTTTATTTAACAGAATAAAAAAGTTCAATAATCAAAGTGTTTGTTACCCAGCTGAAACAGAACTGGTATGTGTTATCTACATTTATAGATTTAAATATAGTTCAAACCGTCTGACACAGTTTGCAGCTTCTCAGGTGTGGTTTGGATCGCCCTGGTTATGTTAGGGCTGTTTTATCTCTAATGCAGTGATTCAGTATATCTTATTTTGTTTGGGACTCAGATTTACAGTCTTCAAATATGGAAAAGAAAACTGCAGTGAAGTACATTAGGCCTGACTCTTTATCTTCCTTGTATACATTATGTAACTTCCGTTACATTTAAAATACTGGAAATGTAAAAGATAATTCATTTGGTTTCTCATACTTGTCATTCAAGCTGTCGTCACAACTTGTTTACTTAATAGTGAGGAAGAATAAACATTTGATGAGGTAGGCCATCTGAAGAAATTTAGGGAAGAAGTAATAAGAAGGAGAACATGGGGCCTTGAATGATTGAGAAACACTCTGTGTAAAAGATATTGTTTAGTAGTTATTAATAAGCATTGTGAAACTATGTACAACTCCACTCATAGACTGTGGGCTACTGAGCAAACATACAATGGTCCTAAAAAGCTCATTTTTTCACATAATGATGGCCAATCTACTTTTAGGTTATTCTCTCTGAAAAATATTCTTTTTCTTTTCAATATATAATTTTGGCTTAATTTTTAAAGATATTTGTTTAAGTTTAGTTCCAATTTTGAAGCTCAAGGTACATGTGTAGAACAGACCAGTTTTATAACTGGTGTGAATTGATTTACCTCTGTGTTCTTAAGTGAATCAGAATAGATATGGTCTTTAATCTTTTAATTTGCAAGCACTTATTTTAGTTATTCACATTCACTTGTTCTGTGCAGCCTCTAAAGCAATAACTGCAAAGTCAAAGAAGGTAGGAAAGTGAAAAGTCAAGGAAAGAGGGAAGTAAGGTAACTCTTGGGGGGAGAAAAAAGGTGTATAACAATGGGAAATAGACAGGTGTTTCACCTCTCCCATCTCTCCACTATTATAATTTCAAAAAATCCCATAGGAAGCTTTATTGCTATTTACTAACCTTATCAAGCTTTCTCTCTGCTATTTTAGTATATTAATATCTTTAATAGAACATTTTCTCTAACTAATACAGTGTATTCAGCACAATAATTAATCAATTTTTCTCTTTAAAGAAATGCAGTTGCACAGACCTAAAGCTCCATTGAAGATGCTTTTTTTTTTTCCCAGTGGGATCAGAACATTTGATGGGTTTGCTTTGGTTTTGTTTTGTTTTCTCTCCTTTGACCTAGTATTAAATGTGATGGATTCTTCGGGAAATACCCCGCTGCACTGGGCCACAAAGAAAAACCAGGTTGAAAGTGTTAGCTTGCTTCTCAGCAGAGGAGCCAATCCAAACATTCTCAATTCCAATATGATGGCACCTTTGCATATGGCCGTGCAGTCCCTGCATAATGAAATTGTTAAGGTAAGTCTAAAGTCCACATAAACGTACAGACTTGACAAGTAGCTCAGCAGCAGCTGCGTGCAGAGCACCAAGGCCTTTTTTATATATGCTGTATCTCCTCATATGCTTTGTTTAGCGAGCTGGATGTGTAACATATGATGCTTATAAAAATGTCTGTGTCTTCTTAGCACAGCAAGTAAAAACTAACTTACTGATTTATATAAATACTGATATTTGTGCCATGATAATAGTCGTTATGTTTCATGAAGAATTCTTTTACATTTTCCAAACATAAGGACTTTTCTTTAAAAAGGTTTTTTTAACACTAAAATTTCCTGTAGGCATGTGTTATTTCAAATGTTTACATTCTAATTAATTTTTTTTTTTACAGTTGTATAGGGAGTCATAGAAGTATCAACATTTTCTTGAAACTAGTATACTTTTTTTATGAAAACCAGATTAAAACTAGTCAGAAAACGCAGTTCTTAAAACCCAACATTTTAATAATCATTCAAATAATAGCAGAACTAAAGCTGCAATTAAAAATCACAACAATATATTGTGAAGAAATTACTAGTGTCCATTTTGAACTTTATAAAATAGTAACAGCATTGAGATTTTAAGCAGCATCCTTTTTTTTCATCATTTGTCGAAGTGCAATGAGAATGTTTTTACTCCATATGTGGCATTTGGATAGGATTTTAGAATTTGTAAAGTTCTTGAATTTACTAGGTGAATACAACCTTAACGCCACATCACCTGCTTTTACCTTTAAAGTTGTCTCTTTTTCTAGTTCGTTGAACCAAAAGAAAGAAAAACATATTCCTGTATTCAAGACTTAAAATCCTTTAGAGATTTTCAGTGCTAAAATATTTCACTGTTCTCACATCTTTTACCAAATTTGTATTTATTATTAATTAAGAACAATAAAATCTGAAATACAGTGACATTTTTAAAATGGGCTTTGTATCAAGTTTGGATTTGGGTTATTTTACAGCTCTGCTCTCAACTGAATATGTGCTCTCATTTTTTCCCCACTCTGTTGTTTATTCAAGCTAATTCTTCTTTGGTTTCTATTGTTAAATTGCCTGAGAGTGATTAAAATGTGCTAGTTCCTCCAGTACAGAAAAAGTGATTGAGATTACTGAAAGATAATTAAATAAATATGTAGATAGAGTAATAAATATGCAGTGCAGTATGGTCATATCATTTCCAGATCCTTGGCTTCTCAGAAAATGCTGGAAGCAGTCATACAGGTATTTGGTGATACTGATAGGTCAGTGTTAGTTGTTAACATAGGGACTGAAGCAGGAGTTCAGGGCTGGAAGGGTCCCTGTTTTCATCAAGTCCTGTCTCCCTTTATCTTATAGAACTGTCCTATAGATGCCAAATTGAGCAGGATCTACAACATTGCTACTTCCCAGGGAATAGAAAATATTACAAGACATTATAACAAACTTCAGTTGAAAATCCCCACCTGCAATTTGCTACAGAAAAGATTTTCTCCCAGTATTAGGGAAGTTGTTAAATAAAACTTTTAAGATGCTCTGCAGCTATGTGCAGTATTTATCCTAGGTACTCAGGTGTCTGCTGTAAAGAATTTTACTTTGCATTTTCTGTTCTCACCTGCATTTTTCACCTGCATATTTTTACGTTGTCCCGCATTTTATCCCTCCTCTGCCTATGCATTGTGGGCTGCTAGCATGCAAAAAGAACAAGTCGCAAGAGTGCTATGGGTGATAAACAACAAAAGTAATGGAATAGGCCTTTGTTGTGTTTGGCTTATGGTTGACTGAATGTTTTCTTAAACATTTAGATTTTGGTCCAGCATAGCAGTACAGATGTTAATTTGGAAGGTGAAGCAGGGAACACACCTATAATTGTAGCATGTTACAAGGATAATCCTGAAGCACTGACAATCCTGGTAGGTATAATTATCCATCACCTTTTGATGTGATTCTGTTTACTTTGATGCAGTGTTATTCTGTTTCTGTGTTCTGTCTTTGTTCAATGGAGGAAGGTTAATCATGGACCTAGTATTCAAGTTACTTTGCATACGTTACTAAGAAACTAATATCTAAGAGCATACATAAATATGTCTGAGTATATATCTGAGGCAAACTTAAGAAGAAACTTCAGCTGATTTTGAAGGTCATGAGAACACAAAATGAAGCACGTTTATGTATAGATGTATGGATATAACATGCAAAAGATGTTTGTACATAAACTTCACAGTGCATATACAACATAAGAAAAAAAGAGACAGCTACCCAGGAGACTATATCTGTAATAGTATGTTTATTAGTCAGAATTTTCTGTATGTCATTAAGCTATATCCAGGCATTATTTTTCAGATTGAAAACGGAGGGAAAATATGTAAACCAAACAAAACAGGATGTATGCCTATCCATGCAGCTGCATTTTCAGGTGCAAAAACATGTATGGAAATTCTTTTAAAAAAAGGTAAGTACGTTGTTCCCAAGCAATCAGTAGGCTTTATTATTTATAGTAGCGTTACCAATTTACTCCTTTAATTCTCAAAGAACTGTGAAAACAAGCACTTAGAATTGTGACTGAACTTACAAGAAGTTAATGCAATTATTCCTATGGGCAATTTATAACTTTTGTAGGATTGTAGCAGCAGCTTAACTGCTTTCCTAAATGTGTGTCCATCTATTGTTTAATGACAGATGTGAAAGATTCATTTTTTTGAGGGGGAAGGATATTATTCCACAGTTAATATACTTGCTTTGAAAGCCTTTATATCTTCTGTTATCTCATTCTCCCTTTAAAAAATTCCATTTATTTTCATCTCTTAGGTGAAGAATTGGGTCACTCTGCTAAAACCCACATCAATTTTACCAATAATGGAAAGTGCAGTCCACTTCATTTAGCAGTTCAAAGTGGGGACCTCGAGATGATTAAAATGTGCATTGAATTTGGAGCCCAAATTGATCTAAAACAGGTAAAACTTGGGTGGAGCAAAATACAATTTTGATAAAACCTAGGTATCTCCAAATCTCTGAGTGGTATGAAGAAGAGATGAGCAGATAATCATTGCTCATTATCTCTTCCAATGCAAAACCTAGGGAGCAGCAGATGAGAACAAGTCTCTAGTTCAAATCAGGCAAAATGTCAGGTTTCTTTACGCAAATTACATAGGATGTTGTGGGTATGAAAAGTTTTCATGGATACAAAATGCATTTGGGCACATCTATAGAAGAAAAATCAATCCTCAGCTACTCAATACAACAACATCCCCTCTGGCACAGGACATCCTTCAGTCATAAACAGATGGAATCTGGGAGAGCGCTCTGCAGAATGCTACAGCCTTCTTCACAAACTCTTTACTATGCAACTATCATCCCTTCCCAGAAATGGGATCTTCAATCTGACCCTTTCTCATCATTCTTGTTTATCTTCAGCTTTGCCCTGGCCTTTCCAGTATCTTCTTTGTAAGCAAGCACAAATTGTGATACTACTGCTGCTACCATGATACTGTTGGTGTAAGGGCCTGTGCCCAGCTTCATGCTGAATAAACATTTCTGAAAATATCTATCATTAATCAAATTGTTTGCAAGGCTGAAATCAACAACTCATGAGCACAAAGATAAACATGGTTTAACCTTTTTTTTTAATTGGTTTGATTCTCTGAACACACAGCTTTTGAATGAGATAATTTATGCTGCTGATTTTGTGAGGCATAAGACTGTTTTGAGAAAGCCTGTGGCATTGTGGAAAAGCCCATTCCAATGCATTCACTGAAACGTTCCTGATTTAAAAAGGTCAAAACCCTCAGTCATGTATAAAAGCTAGTTTGTCCCATCTAGCTAAATGAAATCCTGTTTTTGCAAATATTGTTCTAATAATTTATTTATTGCTTAATAATTTTATGACTGTCTAGCTTATAGTTTAATAACATATTAGACCAAGTTATTTGCAACCTGCAGAAATTTTTTTTTAAAGAACAACATCTAAGGAAGATTCCATTCAAGGAAGTAAAAAACATTTTAAAATAATCCATTTTCTGTATGATGTAGGCACATTTGTTTCCTTATTCATTTGTACTGGTCTTCCTATGGTTTTCTGTAGTTTTCCTTTGATTCATCTCTTGTATTGAAGGGTGCTGTGTGTATCTGTTTATTAATTCAGTTACAAAAGATTCTTAAAAGTGTAATTATCTCGTATCTTAGGGAGTTGGCATAGAATAATAATAAGCTTTAAAACTATCTCTTTAGTCTTTTTTGGTCTTTAAGCTCTCTTTAGAGTTCCACTATTTATTTAAAGACTAAAGTTTCATTACTTGCATAGAAATTTAGGCATTTAGGAATTACAAATCCTGGGCTAGATCACTAGTGTGTTTAACAGGTTGGAGGTTAGGTTGTTGGGTTTAAATATTTAAATGCTGTTTTATTTGCCCATTTACAGAATGAAAAATGCACAGCACTTCATTTTGCTGCCACTCAAGGAGCAACTGAGATTGTAAAGTTAATGATGTCATCCTATGCTGGTGAGGAATCCATTATTGATGCTGTAGATGGGAATAAGGAAACATTGCTTCACAGGTAGGAGGCTGCTCTGCCAGACTTCACTATAAATTGTGAGTCGTGATATTCTTAGTTATTCTCAGCATCCAGTTGTACTTTATAGAGTATACTTTGGAACACCCTTCCAGAGGGGTTGGAACTCCTCCATGGGATGGAGGATGGTTTTAGTACAACATGAAAGAGTCAGTAATTTGTCAGAATGTTAAAGATTTTGGTGCTGATAACAAAATCAAAACAATTCCAGTTACCTTGGCACCATGTCAAGGAATGGTCACTAACAGTTTGTATTGAAAATTTACTCCAGTGAAGTAGTAGGTGAACAAGTTTATGGAATTGTTAACAGCTTCTAAGGTTGTGGAACAAATGCCGTCATCTAATGGGGTTATGTTCCCCAGAAAATGAATGGAAAATAATTTAAACAGTTTAAAATTTTTTTTTCCCCAAAAGATTATCTTATACCTGATCGGTTACAACTAGATGTTGGTACACTTCCCTATGACTACAAAGTTGCAGATGGCATTTGTGTATGTAATAATCCTGTAGACTTAGTCTTTCACAGTCCATTTGAAACCAGAGCACTAGAGTGTGGAGGAGTTTCCTCAGTCTCCTGTAGCAGAAAGACACTTAGTTAATATGTGCTGGCTACAAACTGTATGGAAGATAGTATGTTTCCTCATCTATACATTTTTGCAAGAAATGTATGTCTCACTGCATTTAAGTGTAATAATTTTACAGTGTTACTTACTCTACAAGGAGTTTTACAATACGAAATAACAGGTAGAAAGTCAGAGGCAGTGGAGGTGATTGTTCGTTGGACACGGTATAAAGTGGAATGATTCAAAGATAATTGAAGAAATTAAAAGGAGAGTGTGTTGTAAAGTTAAGATAAGGTTTGGGTACACTTGGAAATGCTACCATGATAGAACGTGATTGAATACAAAGTGATGACAGAATGCCAAAGAAAATTGTGCAGACACAACTTACTACTTGATAGATAACTGGTTGTCATATCCATGAAAATGACTGTCCTTGGAAGAAGCTTGGGAAAAGAATGACATTCTTTTACTCCTTGTGTCTGTGAAACAGGAAAAAAAATATTATCAAGAATCATCAGAAAGGTAGAAAGTCACCCAAATCTCTCAGAATACAAATAAACTGAATAGGAATATTAACTTGTTGAGAAGTGAAGAAGCAGTGAAACATAGGCAGGACTTGATCCTTTCAGATTCCTACTGTCATGTTTCCATCTAAGTATTTTATAAAATCACTTCTTTTTCTCTTCTGTCACCTTGGAATTTATTTTGAGTGTGTGTGAAGGATTCAGTATTTATGCCTGGCTGGTGGGGTCTACTGTAGAAAATAGAGGCATCTGTACTTGGAACCATGACATGATTTTTAAAATATGTCTTTTGAGTAATGAGTTCTACCTATAGTACACCCAGTGTTATTACCTCTTATAATGCTGAGGGAATTGTTATCTTTGAGATACAGTACAACATTGGAACTGTCCTTCTGTGTTGCTCATTGAGTCAAAATATTTAACAGAGGTATGACTTCTGAAAACATTTCGACTGTGTGTATTAACTGTGCTATACATCCTGCTTTGACCATTTTTCCCTATAATATATAATTCAATGTCTTATTGTAGAATAAAGCCTGAGAATTTTTCATGTGTATAGACAGCTTTAAAATATTTTTAATAAATTAATAAATGTCACCACAATTTATATCAGTATATCTTTTCATATTTTTTCAAGTAGTCTTGCCTGCCACAGTCAGAATACATGTTTAACCATTGCCATTTTAAACCCACCCTAGCATTATTACACAAAATATATAGCAAGTTATTTTTGAAGATCGGATCAATGAAATGGATTTGAGGCTCTAGGTCTGCCTGGAACAAACTGAGTCTGAAGTTTATGGAATCCTCTATTGACCTTGTGTGGTACAGAAAGAGATCTGACATATGAAATGATTGGTTCTGTTAAAAATCAGTAGTAAAATGCCTGTTGACCTACCAATGAAGTCTTTGTTTCCCACAGTGGGTTTTCAATGTATTAATTGAACTGAACTTAGTTTAAAAACAAAACTCCATGACAAAAATCAAAACAATTTATTAAAATGAATTATGTAATAAAGGTATCTCTTTGTCTCTTCATTGAAAAATGTATTTATTTGAAAATATTAGAAAATGCAGCAAATGGAGAAAAATGCTACCCTTTGGCTTGAAACTTCATTGTCCTTTCTAATGTTACTGTATTTTTGCATTTTTCCCCACAGGACAGCGTTGTTTGATCATTATGAACTGGCAGAGTATTTGATTTCAATGGTAAATATTTAATCAAGCAACATGTTTATAGAGATTATTGCTATCTATTACTACAGGTCTGCATAGAGAAATTCATAAAGGAGAATGTGTTCTCAGGTATAGGTCACTTAGATACATATGTTTTTCATAATGCATAATTGACAGTTACAGTACAATGGTAGTTATGACTCTGTAATAGCATCCCACACTTACAGAGGATGAAAACTTGCATTTTTATTTCCATTTTACTTACTCAGAAAGGTTTTATAATCATCTTTTACCAAATATTACAAACTGGTTTAGTCGTTCTCACTTTTAGCATATGAAATATGAAACAAATACTAAACATGCATTGAATTCAATGTGATTTTTCCAGAAGAAATCCTTTCTTTAAGGTATGTACGTATGATTATTCTGGGATCACATAGCCATATATTGAAGTTTGTGCATGATCTAGAAATATTTTTTAAGCTGTGTAGTTTGGTTCTATTTCTTCACTGAATACTTATGAGGGAGAAAGAGAAGAAATGTAACCAGGGATGCTACTGGCTATGCTCCAAGTGTCCATTCATACCAGTTAAACTAAGGCTCATATAATCTTTATATGCCCTACTCTGCTGAGGAAATTTTTGGAAGTCATCAGATTTCTTTTTCATTTTATGTACATTTAGATTTTTTTACTTAATTTCATGACAATTATATTAACAAAAACTCTCTTCTACATATAGTTTTGCTTATCTTAGAAACTCTGTTATAGGGATTGAATTTAGTCAGAACTAGATGTTGTGCTTATTTTTAATTCAAAAGTGATATGGTGAGGTTTGACTGCTTAAACTTGTCTGACAAAACAACCTCTCTACAGAAGTTATTACCTGAAAAATACAGGCACAGGTTTTTGCATGTGGAGGCTTGTGTGATCAAAGTATTAGAGGGAATATCTTTAACACTGCATTTGCTAAGAACAAACTTTTATTCCTTGAGTGCCATTTTGACTATTTTGGCCTCTTCCATAGAATCTATGCTGAGGCGTATTTTGGCTTTCCATATAAAGTATGTCAGTTTTGAAGCTTTAGGACTGTTTTCATTCGCCCTGTCTGGGAATGGATCAAAATATGCCAGTTAGGGTTAGTGGGACGTGGCACATACAGAAAGTTCTCATGATTTAGCTAGTAACTTAGCAATTTCACTGCATCTTTTAGTGGGTTTTTTTTCTTGTATATTGGACAATTTAGCATTGAGGTGTCTGGTGCTTCCTGAGTTTACTTCATTAATTTCATTGAAACGTGCTTATTCAAAGTAAATAAGCAGCAATTTTATACATTTTTTTGCTGCTTTTTTTTGGACTTCCTTTTTCCCCTTTTGCTTCCTTTGTCTTCACTAAAAGAAAAATGAAAGATTAAATCGGTATAAATACTCATTGATATTTACAAAATTTGCATAGTATTTATTTTTATATTAATATCTGCTTATTTCATATATATTAATGTATAAATGCAAAAGTAAAAGGAGTTCAGAAACTAAATTTACAAACTATTAATTCAGCTATATCGTAAATGTGGTAATATATGAGTTACTCCTTATTGTGATAAATAATGGTGTAATGCTGCTGAATTCATTTTGCTGAAGGCTGAACAATGATGTTATCTGGAGGGAAGGTGATTAAAGATTGCGTTATTAACTGGAAATTGCTGCCCTGTATTCACTGAAATGATTGAGACTCTTGGATAAAAAAGGTCTTTGTTTCTTTGATGGATAAGAACATTTTTAAGAGGTTGCCTGACCTTGTAGAAAGGTAACTGGGGAAAGGGTCCTGCATGTGTTGCTCTCAAACATTTCATCAACATACATTGGAAGCTTCCTGTTCTCTGTGGTAAAGTAATCATTGTACATTTATTAAATGTTTCTTATTAACTACATTACAGGTTTTACTATCCTAGAAAGTAAATATTGCTCATGATTATGATTAATTCTCTCTCAAATTAGTGGACCCAAAGATGATTCAAGTTAATGGAAAAACTCCCATTGATTTTTTTTCAGTGATCTTTGGATATTATCTGAAATAAAACAGATTTTTTTGTGTACTTTGATCAACTCGTCTAGTTTGACTTGTGAGTCAATATCTAGAAAAATTATATCTAAAACATCATAAAATATACATACGTGTCATTGGTTCATTTACTTGTATCCTCATACTCCCTTGTTGGCGGGACTTTTTATGTAGATATGTTTATGCTCATAGTATTTTGCTGATATGAACATAGTGATACTGTGACCATAGTGACCATACTGTCCTGGCAATATGCATCTTGTGCAAAAATAGACAAAACAGTAAAACCGGGCTTTTGCCAGAATATCTCATTCCAGTCCTTGTGCTTCCCCTAAGGAGAGAGGTCATATCAAAAACCTTGAATTTGGAGAATAAAAATGTGTCTGCTGTTGATAACAGCTACTTTGGAGTCAAAATTAACTTGGCACATATAGCTTATGATGGAGCATAGAAAATGAAGAGAGATCAAGATGTACAGATCAAGCTATACTAATCTCTGGATGCATTACTTCTTGAGCAGTATTCACATAGTGTAGAGGTTCAGAAGGGTTTTGCTCTAGTAATTGTTTGGTAAGTAAGACCACATCATTCAAAAGGGCTGCAATTTTTGTATTCTTCCAGAGCTTCAATCCCAGTATTTTCAAGTTAGAATTATGTATTTTGAGTATTTAAATGCATGGAAAGGTACCCTCACAAAAGATCATACCTAGAAGTAGGCCACTATTATTTAGGCATCTAAATTTATGTGTGTAGTTGACTGGGCTGTGGCTGATAGTTTGAAAACATAGTAGTTTTATAGAGAGATGTAATGTGTTTATTGAATTTACTTATCTGGAGCATCTGGAGTTATTAAGAATGCCTGTAATTCTGCTATGCTTATAAAGGGCAGTACCATTTTAAAATTTATTTTATTCGTTATTCATGATAAACTTGAAATTCTTTATTGCAGGGGGCTAATATTGATAGTGTTGACATAGAAGGTCGATCCCCGCTTCTGTTGGCCACTTCCTGTGCATCATGGAAAATTGTGAATTTACTGCTCTCAAAAGGTAAAAAGGAATATACACATATGATACACTTCCTTTGAGCAGAGTTCATACATGTTAACACATACTCTGCATCTAACTTTCCTCTGAATTTCAATTCCGTGCTTCAGCATACAGTCCAGGAGCAGCTGAGTGAACGGCTGCACAGTGCTGGTATCCTGTAAGATGAAGAAAGAATTAGCGTGATGATTTCACCCTTTTTAATACAGAGTGAACAGGCTGTAGAAAAATGTGTATGCCATGTGTCATGCTTCTCAAGGTAGAGGTCACACTGGCACTCCATCCCTGCATTCCTTAGCAGTTTTCAAAGTGAGCAGAACTGTGGAATAAATACACCACTTACACAGAGTCATGTTTTGTACCAGCAATCAATCTTTAAATGTTAAAGCCCATATTTCAAGCATTACCTGTGATTTTATATGATCACAGTCACCTTCAAAATGTTTGAGCTATATATTTCAATTGCTACACTTTTGGTGCAAGCTAATTGTTGTTACTATATTTCTTTTTGTTAATAGTAATATAACTGATTCTGTTAATAAGCCCTGTAATAAGTTTTGAAGCTGTATCAAGATTACAACTTTAAACAATTAGAAGAGGTGTTCATCTGCATCTTTAAATTACCTCTTTATTTGTGGGTGCTCAATGCCTCTGGATATAAGGGCCCCACATAAATCTTAGTGCTGCAATGAAATACAAAAGGCATACATACATGAGATAACGATGAAATCTAAGTGTCAGTAGGGGTTTTTCTGTAAATAAAATTGTATGTTATAATATTGACTTGAAATAATATTTGTTATTTTATAGATTTATAAACACATTTGTTCAATATTTGTTCCTTTGTCTTAAACATCATAATTAGTGCCAGGGGCCAGCAGTTTTGAAGTTGCTGGTATTTATTTCCATATTTATCTAGGAGCAAATGTATCATTAAAAGATCATCTTGGTCGGAATTTCTTGCATTTGACGGTATTGCAGCCTGGAGGATTACAGCATCTGAATGAGAAATTTCTGCAGGTACAGTAAGCATCAATTTATATCTTTCTCTTACCCTTACTAGAACATGTAAAGAAAAAAGCAACTACCATTTTATTTTGGAATGTTTGTAAAAGTTTGTGGTACCTGTTAGGTTGCCCAGTGTCACAGAAAATAGTTTGAAGAGGTACATATCTCATGCAAACATTTCAAAGCCAATAATACAGTTTTCTTATTGCCAGGCAAAGGAATAACATAATCCCATAAATTATTTTGCTGTTGGGGGATTGAATAGCTCAAGAGGTAGGCAATAAAATATAGAACTTTTCACTTCTACTTTCCCAGCTTGCATGCAGTAAAGCTAGGGGATGTGCTCTTATTCAGTCAAATTCTAGGACTTAAATAGCTTACAGCATATTCTGCAGGAGCTTCTGTGGACTGGACTGTAATGAAGTCTTGGATTTTGTCTTAAAAAGGATTTCAAACATGGATTTGTATTTGGCTATGCTGAGGTAAAGCACTTGTATTGCTAGAGCCCAAGCTTGCTTGAAAGAGTTAAATTTGCTAGCCTCCAGAGCTCCAGAAACAACTTTTTAAATGTGAATCAAGTATAACTGATCTTAAAACATCTGCTGAAGTCTGTAAACAACTTTGATTAGTAATGCAGAATGGATTTAACCTCCCTTTTCAGCAGATGTAGAGAATCAGTTTTAAACCAGGGTGATAACTCTCAGTTGTCTGCATGGACTTTCTAATAATTGATCATACTAATAATTCAGACAAAAGGTGGAGCAGACCCGGAGAGGAGATTTCTAGTCGCTTTAAGAAAGGCTACACATAGGATAGTGTTAGACAAGGTATGGAGCTAAAACAGGAAAATGAAGATGAGAAAGAGAAATGTGAGAAATAAAATTACACTGTAAACCAGTGAACTGATGGTTCTTGACAGCCAGAGGTTTTGCTACTGAATACAGAGTATAAACTTCCCTTACATTCTGTAGAAGCCTTCTGCTGACAGCAATGAGTATTATGGTTGAATGGCAGCAAAGAAGAATCTCCTGTATATTTGTACTGTGGATGGATTGCAGTAAGGGTGCAGACTGGCAAACTGCTGTGTTCTTCAAAGAGTAGTTCTTTGAAAAAATGGTGACCCACAAATCAGCAGACATTAAATGCTTATTGTTGCTGAATTTACTTTTCCTAAAGTTTGTTTCTTATTTTTAGATACTGCTTTAAAGTATTATTTAATGCTATTGTTACAAGCTATTAGAAGCTGTGGAGCATTGGTGATGTAAATATAATTCTGTGCTTTGGGGTTTTTTTTGGGGGGTAACAGATGGAACATATTAAAAATCTTGTAGTGGATGAAGATAATGAAGGATGCACGCCATTGCATTATGCATGCAGACAAGGTGTGGCCCTCTCTGTAAATAATTTACTCAGCCTCAACGTTTCCATCTACTCTAAGAGCAGGGACAAGAAGTCACCATTACACTTTGCTGCCAGGTTAGTAGTGCAGTCTAGGCAATGGAATCAATGCCATTTTTTCCATTTGTATTTTTTTTTTACATTAATTTCTATGTTTATCTTTCAAAGCTATGGGCGCATCAATACATGTCAACGACTTATAAGAGATATGAAAGACACAAGGCTTTTGAATGAAGGTGATAAGAAGGGAATGACTCCCCTTCATTTGGCAGCCCAGAATGGTCATGAGAAGGTAGTTCAGTTTCTTCTGAAGAGAGGGGCCCTTTTTCTCTGGTAAGTATACAGATTTCCATTCATTAAGGCAAAAAAGAACTATAACCCTACATTTTATGTCCATCTGCTGGGAAGTTAATACAATATAAATATAAATACAATATATGAAAATATTTAATATATTAATATATACAAATATAAATATACAATATAAGAGCATATTTATGAAATATTTGTAAAGCTAAGTTGATAGTGCCTTGCTTCAGCCTGACACAGAATCATAGCTAACTTTAAAGCAAAGCTTCTAGTGCTGGGGAAACTGAGATTTCTCTAAATACAAGTGAGAGAAGAATATTGAATCTTTTGATGGAAAAAATAATGTTTGGGAAATATTATAATTACATCCACTTCACTTACAGGCTTGAGTAGGGGTTCTTAGGATTGGTGGTTCACAGGCAACTTGCCTTGCACTCTTAAGTGCTGATTTCAGGTCAAAGATCCTCAGATCATTGGCAGCCTCACAAAAGCTTCCAGGCTCACACCTGTAAGGCCAGGAGCCAAAGCTACCAAAAGTTGAGAGTCCTGTTTCCAGGGTACAGTCTACAGCTTTAACTTTCAAGTCCTGTGCTTCCAAGTTCACTGCAGCTACACCTTGGAGCTAGAGGCCTAAGCATTCTGAGGAGATCTTTAGCAAACAGGCCTGTCATACATTCATTATTTGTGACTGCAGAGGACCCACTAAATGGACTACTGTCAAACCCTTTATTTCCAGTGTCCTTAGCTGGACTAGTACACCTAGCAATGATAGAGATGATAATATACATATAAGTATATGTATGTATATCTATGTGAACACATGTATGTGTTTATGTATTTAGGCTTAATTTAGAGTTAAATCTGGCATTTTTTAAATAAATGTCCTAGTGGGTTCTATGTGATAAAAGGCTTAATGAGTTTCGTTATACTAAGCTAAAGTAATATTGATAGGCATAGATTTGTATGCTTATCATGTTTTATATATTCACTATGTTTAAATGCAAAATTCTGTAATGTGGCCATGGTCTATGCTACATGTGTTGCCAAGTATTAGTAACAGAATATTGCTAGGATTTCTGTCATTTTCAAGGGACATATAAGAAAATGGGCACAATCCATATATATACAGAAATAGAGAGAGGGAAGAAAAGAGAGAGGGTGACCCAAATACTATTACTGAGTTGAACCTTTTACTTCCAAATGATGCATTGATAATCACATAATAGTTTACAGAAGGCATGGGCATCTCTGCAGTAGTCATGCCAAAGAAAAGAAGTTTGAGTCAAAGGGGGAGGCATTTAAATTTACTTTAAATTTATAAAAAGTTTTCCATTTATAATTATTAATTTTATACTGCTACATGTAAGTGATTATAAAGGCTGGACAGCCCTGCACCATGCTGCCTTCGGAGGATACACTCGCACAATGCAGATCATTTTGGATACTAATGTGAAGTGTACTGACAGAGTGGATGAAGAAGGGGTATGTGTTCACACAGCATTATTTGTTTCTTGTCTGCTGTTAAAGTTTATTGCTTAGATTAATATATGATTGCTGAAATTGTTACCCAATTCTTTTAAGTGGGAGACAAAAAAAATGCAAATAGCCTAATGGAAAACATAAAATACTGAGTATGTTAGACATGTTCCCCTTGTCCCCTTTACAATGCAAGAGTATTTTAACAATGTAGTATAAACATCGGTAATTTAAATTTAAAGAGCTTATACAGATTTAAAAAAATCCAGTATCAACTGTAGCTCATTAACATATTGTTTGAAATCCATCCGTTCTGCACAGCAATGTCCAATAGATACAGCTGCTGTCTTGCTCTGAAGTTTGGACAAATGCAGTATCTTTTGGGTCAAGACAAAATCCATTTCCTGGATTGGAGACCTCTTGTATGAACCTAACAGTTCTCCATCAGGCAATATAGGGTGGTCATTTTAATGAACTATTCAGTTTCCAACACAGAAGGTGCTGATTTTTCTGAGAACTGGTGTTGAAAACATTTAGAATTATTACATTAGAAACAAATCTTGCCTAGAAATTAATGAGAAGCCAATGCTTAGATCTTAATTTCCCTCAGAAGAATCTGGGTGAGTTGGGAAGTCTTTCAAAATTCAGTTTCAGTGTGACTTGATTCCTACACCACTCATTGCCTTACTTTTATGAAAATACCAATGAAAAAAAAGTTCCTCTTATAAAACTGTGCCTGCAGATTTGTTTGTATGAGCACATCTGGATATAATTGGATGCTTCTTTTCCTGATTATCAAATGCAGGTGTTCTGTATATGTAGATACCATAATTTTTACCTGTTTGTGACTTGCAGTTTGTGAGTTACAAAACTAAAAGATATTAATGAATTGGCTTTCCTTACCTACAGCTGAGTTTCCTCTTCAGATTCAGCGCTACTGTTGCTGTAGAGGTAGCATAAAGAATTTGTCTATAATGTCTATCAGAATCTCTGTGATGATATTCTATTTTTTTATGTTGCTAGTAAAAGTATTCAGGACTTGCAACTGAGAATAGCATGTGGCTTTTCAGTGTGGGAAACAACTGAAATATGTACCTTTTTTTTTTTTAAATGATTCTCATGGATGCATTGCTGTACTACTTTTCTGCACAGAACACAGCTTTGCACCTGGCTGCAAGAGAAGGACATGCAAAAGCAGTAAGGTTACTTCTTGACTATGGTGCGAAAATTCTGTTCAACAAAGCAGTAGCTTCTTTTTTCCATGAAGCGATACACAATAGGAGAAAAGATGTAGTGTCTGCTGTCATTTTGCACAAAAGGTAAGGTACACAGAAAATGCTTTTTGACTTTATTTTCTGTGGTGTTTTGTTTTGTTTTTTAACTGAGATTAAGTTCTGAAAACCTGCAGTTTAATAAGTAAAACTGAGTGCATATTTTACAATTCTAGAGATTATGTTGTGTTCTAGTGAGAGCATATAAAAAAAGGCATAATTGTAATGGACAGTAGATACGTGGAATGTTGTTTTCCATGTTAGATTGAGTATTCAGATTCTGTTAAGAAAAACCACGTAGAAGCCATTAGAAAGAAGTAAACCTTCCCATGTCTTCCCTCTTCTTAATACATAATTTTGGCCTTTCACATAATGCTTCAATACCTACAGAATTTTAAGCAAAATGTAAACAACTGATACCATTCAAGAGATTTAATTTAAAAACATTGTTTTAAATGTTGCAAATATTTAAAATGTGGCAGTTCAGCTGCAGTTTAAAGTATTTTATATTACAATATAGTGAAGCCCCACTTCAGAAATAAAAGTGTTGCACCATTGCCTAATGATCACATCTCTTGGTAAAGAGTTGCAGGAACACTGCCAGTATTTTACTGTATTTATTATTACTCACCTTGATCTTGTAACCCAAGATTCCAGCTTTAGTTCAAGTTTCATATTTTTAGAAGGTCTTAGCATAGTTGAAACATTTCTGTTTAATTGATAACAGAATTAAACATGAATCATTCTTAGAGAAGCATCCAAAATGTTACTCAATTACTCCGCAAACAGCTGATTTTCCAATTAATGGTATGTAAACTTGTTACACATTGTGATTTGCAAGATAATATCTTAAATAAAACAAATAATCTAAAAGTAGTTAATTTAAAAGAGAAGCAACGAATTAATTTTCCATTATCTTAACTCATTTTTGCAGATGGGAAGAAGCTGTTGTGACATTCTCTCACTATTCTAGTGCCAATAAGTGTCCTTTGCTGGAAATGGTTGAGTATCTTCCTGATTCATTTAAAGTAAGTTTTCTGTACATATTAAAGAAATGACCACACAAAAAACCCCTTAGTTATGTTGCATCATTTGCCATTGTTTTTCTAATGCTGTCCTCACTAATAAGTATTATTATAAAATAGAAACAATATAAATTCACAAATTGATTTAATTGTATTTTAGTGATAGTTTCAGTTTGGTCAGTTTAATTTCTTTAGTATTAGAAAAAGTTCTTTGCTTCCTGACGTCAATGGAATCATGAGTATAAAAGTAGTATAAAAAGGAGTATAAAAGTGATGAAAGTCAGAAGAGAATTTGGTTCAAAACCATTTGAGATATTTTCACCTTCTGAGCTAACTGTTAAATGACACTACAGAAATGCTTTTTATTAAAATAGCAAGTGACTTGGTATGTATATATTCATAAGCACTTCACATTTTGTACTTGCAAGTTAACATGTAGCCTTGTAAACTGCATAGTTTCATTACGTCTTCAAAACATACACCATAAAATCTGACTGAATCATCACTTCCATTAGATGTCTGCTGTATTTGAAGGTCATTTTCTTCAGGTACAAATATATTCTTTCTGATTAACATTATTTATATCACCTTAATTCACTTTTCTGTTCATCTGCAAAGCTGGTTTTGGACAACTGCATAATTGAGTCTTCAGAGGAAAAGACAAGTCGAGACTTCTATGTAAGTGGATGACAAAATTTATGAAGACAGTACATTTTACGGTCTTATGATAGAATATGTCACAATATGCCTGGCTATATGTTAGCAGTAGTACATTATTTGGATAATAATTAAGTTGCAAAATCATCAGCTTGGCTTTTAGCTACTAATACTGAACTAAATTGTAATACCTCTTAAATATTTTCTATAGTTGCAATTATAGTTCTATAGTTGGTAAATTGAAATCAGCCAATACTTAAACTTGATTTGTGAATAATTCAGTAGTTATTCACCAATAACTGTATTTGAATCTGTGCTTTTAATATGTATTTGGCAAAAAACTCCTCAGTATTAGGATGACTTTTAAATATCACTTCATCAGATACTAGCAATCTTCAACTCTTAGTCTCTTTTGGTTTTTTTCTCAGCAAAGCCACTGATTTAATTCTCTTTATTGCCTCTGTGACACTGAAATGAGCACGTTTGTGACTTGAAAGTTTGGAAAGTACACAATATGTATACTTTAATATATATGTCAAGTTCCTATGGATAAGATACACTTATAGATGAATATCAGATCTTAACAGAAAACACAGGTGACTGATCTTATTTTATCCTTTGGGCTGTAAACGGCTTTGAAGTTCAGTTTCTGTAATCTTCATGCTTATGCATTTTCACAAGTATAACATTAAACCTGAGCAGTCTATGGACTTTATCTTTGCTGTGTTAATTCTTGCAATTGAGCTGGGTATCAGAGGTTATGGATATTTCAAAATAACAGTAATAGAAGACATAATATCTATTTATGCGTATTAGAAGCATGCCAATCATAAGTAATGCAATTGTCATCAGTAATTTAGAGTCCAACATGTTTCTTTTTCGTAAATTCTTGTCCAAAATCTTAAGCAATAGATTGCTTTCACAATGCTAAGGAGGTATGAATGTTCTACAGTTATGTTATCTTTGAAGCCATATTGAAAACCACCTTATCAATTATTATATTGGATTCTGACTACATCATTAACAGAAAACTTTCAATTTTTCTGCTACTGTACATTTTCTTTATATTGTGTTATCAAAGCCATATAACTTTTAAACACAAGCTTTTCTTCAAAGTCACCATTAAAACAAATTAGTTATGAGAGTGACCTTTTTAGACTGTAATATTTTAAGAAGAAATGTGTGCTTTTTATTTTACAATTCAGAATGGCTGTTTAATCATCTTAAAGTCACAGATGTGTATCTTGATGGCATGCGTTCACTGGCAGAGAAACTAACGATCAATATACATCAGTGTTCTAATCTGATACAATATGTCCTTTTTTTCTCTAAAGGATAACCTTTTTTAAATTAAGCACATTGTCTCAGTCTTAGATTATCAGTTTAATCACATTTAAATGCTGGCGCATGTTTATTATTCAGATTGAATATAACTTCAGATATCTCCAGTGTCCCCTGACACTTAACAAGAAACTAAAGGATGGTGAAGACATTTTCTATGAACCACTTACCACTTTAAATGTAAGTAAATTCTTTATTTTACTGTGACATCATTCCATGCTGTCTTGCTTTAGATAAAATCAAGAGGTTTGAATTTTTCATTATAATATTTCTATTCCAAAGCCCATAACTCTGTATATTTAAAGTATATTGAAATGAAGTATGGGCTAAAGTTCTTATGGTCTAAGTAATAAATAACATTTCTTTTAGTTTTAGATAAAAATTCTTAAGTTTATTTAAACAACTATGAATGTTTCAAGAGAACGTGCTGTATATGCAGGTAATACATCAAAAAAAACCATACTCCAGTCATTGTAGTGACCATGCACTGGAATGTAAGGCTTTGAAAAATCTGACAAAACTGATTTTTTCATATGCTAATTGCAAAACACTTCCTGTGCCTAAAACACATTTTGCTGTTCTTTCATGTTGCCAGTATGTTCTGTCATTCTTTGTCAGAAAATGTTTACAGAACAAACTTTCTGGGTTAGTCGATTACTTTTTGGGCTTCCTGTTGGCAGTTAGACTTGGTATACTGTCAAATAATAAATAAATAAGTATTTTCTTGTTAAATGTAACCAGAAAACTTGGTCAACTCACAGGTGTAGTTGGCAATAGTCTGTACAATTTTTTAAAGCTTGAAATAGACTAGCAGAGCAGCAGGAGAGAAGCTGAATGCCTCAGTAGGCAGAGAACGCATGATAGTAATAGCTTTGGACCGGAGTGCATAAACAAAAGAACTTTGCAATATCTCACAGACATTTTACTTTTGATTAGGCTAATATTCAAGTAAAGAAGGTGGCTTAGCCAGTTTTGTAAGCACTTTACTTAGCTAGGTGAGATAAATTTGATCCTTCTGCTTTCTTGTTCTGTAGGCCATGGTACGCCACAATCGCATGGAGCTACTCAGTCATCCCGTGTGTAAAGAATATTTGCTCATGAAATGGTAGGTGTATTGTAATGTACATAAAATATAATACTGCATGTCAGGGTGAAGGCTATTGTGCCTGAGAGTTGTTTACTAAGGTGTACATATTTGTAGTGTTGACTGAAGCGAATATCTTTTCCATATAACCTCTCACAAGCATATTTAGAATATGCTGATGATTATTGTATAAAATGTAGCTTAGTATTTAGTAATGATTCTTTGATATTTACAGCAAAGACAACCACCATCTTTGTTTCTGCTTTATTGCAAAAATACATAATAGGATTGCCGAGTTGAAAAGGAATATTTCAGAATGGCCAATACACTATTGTCCACATAAAGCTCGATGAACACATTCATCACAAAAGGACATTTTAAGAAATGTTTATTTCCTCATCTTGAAAACATTGTTGGCTGTTACATTTGAATGCATGCTCTTCTAAATTTGTAAAGTGTTGTAACTTTCACGTTCTCACTTTCAAGGATGGCCTATGGGTTTCGAGCACATCTAATGAATTTAGGCATATATTCTCTTGGTCTCATCCCACTGACTCTTCTGGTCACTCACATACAGCCAGGAAGACCTCTGAATGGAACAGAGATCTATGAAGCAAGACCATTAGAATATGAGGTACTGAGTTTCCTTACTAGTTACAATATATTTAGAATTTTTATAGCAAAAAGGTATGATTATTTAAATTTGTAGAATTATTTATGATTTAGCAACTCTAAGGAACAGAATTGAAGTGTGTATTTTTAAACATTCAGCAGCAACTTCTGTAGATAATTTTCAGTTCTTGTTTCTTATTTGTAATCTTTTCTGAAAATTTTACGTCTGGTACATGGTTACTTGTAATTCTTCCCTGAAGTGAATATTTCTTTAGTGTTGAAGAAAAAGAATTAAGGTGTATTTAACTATGAAAAGACAGAAAACAGTGGATTCTTTAGCTTTCTATGTCCTTTTAATTTTCAACCAAAATAACTGGATATTGCACATTTAAAATTTGACATAGAAAGAGTAGCCAATAATAAAGTGCTTTTGGGTATTCAGATACATCTTTCTTTGCCCATAATATATATTACTTTCCCTTGCAGGCCCAGTATTTCTTCATTAGGCTCAAAAACTATGAGGCTAGGACAGAACAATTTTTGCCAGTCTGTATATGGCTACCCCATGTACCACAGTAGTGAAAAATGTAACAACAGAATTCAGTCATATATGGATGGAAAACTCTGTGAAAGATTTTTAAGTATATCGGTTGTTTCCTATAATCCCTGTTTATAAAAGAAAAAAAAACCAGAAAAAGTTGTGTTGTACCAAAATGTGAGTGATATACCCCCATTTTGGAATTACGGCATCTCAGAATGAAAAACTTGATTAGGTAGCAAAGTACATATGCATCATAGTGACTTTTGCATATCTGAGTCTTAGTCACAACTGTGAAAGGTATGGGGCTGGTCCAGTAATTTATTAATAGTGATCTCATTCACGATATGCATTGGATGGAAATGATGCTTTAGTTAGGGCCATAAGACAAAATCAGAAATCAGAAATAGTGTGGCCAACAGGAGCAGGGAGGTGATTGTTCCCCTGTATTCAGTAGTGGTGAGGCCGCACCTCGAGTACTGTGTTCGGTTTTGGGCCCCTCACTACAGGAAAGACATGGAGGTGCTGGAGCGTGTCCAGAGAAGGGCAACAAAGCTGGTGAGGGGCCTGGAGCACAAGTCTTATGAGGAGCGGCTGAGGGAGCTGAGGCTGTTTACCCTGGAGAAGAGGAGGCTGAGGAGAGACCTTATCGCTCTCTACAGCTACCTGAAAGGGGGGTTGTAGTGAGGTGGGTGCTGGTCTCTTCTGTCTCAGGTGCCTGGACATAGGACAAGAGGAAATGGCCTCAAGTTGCGGCAGGGGAGATTTAGGTTGGATATTAGGAAAAATTTCTTTACTGAGAGGGTTGTCAGACATTGGAACAGGCTGCCCAGGGAAGTGGTTGAGTCACCATCCCTGGAGGTACTCAAAAAGCAGATGGACAAGGTACTCCAGAACATGGTTTAGTGGGCATGGTTGATGGTTGGACTCAGTGATCTTGAAGGTCTTTTCCAACCTAAATGATTCTATGATTCTATGTTTCTGTAAGGAAAGCAAGCAAGGATGGAGCCTGCCTCGGGGTAAACCTGTCCTCCATAGATACTTTTGGGTTATTAAGAGACAAAGCTCCAACTTTTTTTCAGAAGCTGGAACTGCAATAATTAGGACATCATAGTGAACTGAAGAAGTTAGACTTGCCAAGTCCACCGCTACAGGAGAATGAGGCTTTAGAAAAGAAAGACATTGGTGTGACTGGTTGATGTCCTTTTTGTAAGTGTTTCCTTCCTGCAGTTAAAACTAAGCAGTATTCTGTCTTTTAAGAAGGCTGTGTATCCCTAAGCTGAACATTGTACTAAACTTCCAGAGAGGGAAATGCAAATTCTGCGGTTTATTGAACCTGTGAGTACAACTCATACATAGTGTTACACTCCTGTGTCCATGTGAAGGGCAGGAAAGTCACAGAGCTCTGTCTCCACAACATCAAGTCATATATTCTGAGAAGAGACACCTGTGTCATTAGCCCTGAAACAGTAACGTACTGGTGTTAATGGGGACAAGATTTTGTTGTGTGGCAAACTTTTTGAATGGTCCATTTCAAATAAGTGATTTTTTCAATAAAATGAAGGATTTTGGCAAGAAAAAAAAAAAGAGGCGAGAAAATATTTTACAGTTCTTTGGGGAGATAAAAGATGTAAAGCTGAAATAGAAACTCAGAAAGCATATGCTAGTAGAAATATGAAATAAAATGAAATCAAGGGATATAAAAGGTTCATGAGGATATCCTGATACATGAAAACATCTGGAGAATCACATACCCAGCCTAGCCCAGTACATGCGGGATTCTCAAAGATTCAGAAGCCAGAAGAACTTGCAGAACTGGAAGAATTCATGCTCCACTAACTCACTGATTTTCCTGGTGGAAGACAGGAGAATGACAGGAGCTGCATACAGCAGACAGAGGAATAACTCAGACTGACCCAGGTCCTTGAATCATCAGAGACTGGGTGGAAGAAGCACAGTTGGAAGAGGGAGTCCTGTCCTTCAGTGAGCAGTGATGCCAGCTGGTGGAGAGGCAGTGCACTGAACAGGAGCCATGAAGGTGCTGCCTGAGAGACTAGAGTAACAGCAGTGTATATGAAATGTCATGCACTGGAGGAAATGGTGTCCTAATGACCCAAGTAATGGGAATGGAGTGGGGAAAGCCAGCTCTTCAGGGAGAACAGTGTTACAGAACATGGTGCTATACTCTTAACGCAGGTTGGAAAGGGACATCGCAATGGGGCAGATGCTGATGTGTATTGCAGCACCACTGAAAAGCAAGTGCCATGGATTAGTGGTCTCGCTATGAGTTAACGAACCCCTCAGATGGGGAATTAGCTCTATGAGTTATTTATTAAAGATGAAATTCACTATTGTTATCTATGCCAATAGAAGGCTTTTCACAACAAAGTTGTCTTTCCCTATACTGGTTGTAAAGGGAGACATCAAAAGCAGCAGCCACATAATAAGGGTGCCAGGACTTCCAATTTGTCCAAAGACTTCTATTGCTGTTCTGGATACTACACTATGGTAGTGAAGTTATGGACAACAGAATTTGTCTTTATGTTCATCCAGTGGCAAAACATACTGAAAATGCATAGATACTGCAATTTCAGTTCCCAAACTTGAACAGTAGTAGTAAGGAAGCTGCACAGCAACTATTTATCATGGGAATGCTCAAACTTTCGTACTTGAATTACTTAAACACAATATACATGACATGGATTTCATAATAAATACTAGTAGAACAGAATTTAGATAGCAATAAGTTTATATGAAGCAAGCTAACAGTTTCTTAACTTGGCAATGTAAAGTATATGTAGTAGGTAGAGCTGAAATAAATGTTCATTTAAAAATTTCTAATTTGCTTTGTGCTCTGATTTTTGTTTCAGAACTCATACTTCACAAGGGTGTGTATGTGTTTAGTTTTAATAATGAGTTTACTGGGAATCTGCAAAGAAATATTTCAGCTGATTCAGCAGGTAAATACATAAATAACATTAATCAGACAGTGTGCTTGCATAGCAGTTTGAGTGATATTTAAATAAATCTGATTTTTCCCTAATTAAAAGGGAAATACCAATTTATACATGATTAAAAGTGAGAAGACTATTTAAATAGTGTATTGAATTCAGTGCTTTAATGATGCATGACTTGTAAATATGTATCTGTCTCTCTTAAATCCTAGAAATTGAAATATTTGTTGGATTACTCAAATCTACTGGACTGGACAATTTATACTACAAGCATAATTTTTGTGTCTTCTTTGTTTATTAATACACCAGCTCATTTGCAGTGGGAATGTGGAGCAGTTGCTGTATACTTGTCTTGGATGAACTTCTTGCTTTACCTTCAACGGTAGAAGTTATTACATGCTTTACGATAAAATACTTTTAATATTTTCAGATATTTTACATATCCTAAAGCGTGCCTGTTCAAGTATGATAGCCCTATTTCTTATCTTTATTTTTTCAAGCTATACAAGTTTCCAGATTAGGACCATAAAAATTTTTTAACCTAATGAACTGTAAAGTAGTTTTTAGTGTTTTTCATGTAGGGAATCACAGCATGTGTTATGGCAACTAAAGAAGTAACAAGATTTATTTTAATGTTAAGCAAGCAAAGCCACCATGTATGTCTTTTTAAAAATGTGTTTCATTATACTATATAGACTTTCACTTAAAAAAAACCCCCTTCGAATCACAAGAGGCAAAAGGAAGTCTGTTTTTTACCTGGGAGAAGGTAAATTCTTTTATCATTTTACAGGTTAAATGGCACACCCCACTTTTCTAAACCATAGTGTCCTGTAAAAGAATTACTATGGATGAAGTTATTTCTTTAGTTGACATTAGGTCTATTTATTGCCATTAATGATCTTAATGCTGTCACTGGTACAATAGTATCCGAGAGTCATGGACTGCAGGAGAGCTGGGTGGACGGAAAAATAGTGTGGGTGTAGTGCTTAAGATTAATAAATTCAACATGTTTGTGCCTGAACAAGACTGCCTTGCACAAAGATGAGGTGTGGCTGATCAGCAAAAAAGTGGTGATCTGGAGCTGTTCAGAAAATAAGGATGACAGTATGTGGTAACACTGCATATATGCTCTTCTGATTCTTATTGTATATATTCACTAATCACTCCCATAAGGTTTGGCAGACAGGAAAACACAGCATTTGCTGATTAATTTGAGGATCATTTTACTGTGGTTGAGATGTTTAAGGACAAGGTTTGTAAACAGAGTTAATGTCATAAAGAGAGAGCATCTTTATGGTCCTGCCTCTGCTCGCAAACTTTGTCCTACCTATGTCTGACCTTAGATGACTAATGAATGGGTACATCCTCTCTCCTCTGCTTTGTGCTGTGGGCAAAATGAGGGTTGAACCTAAACAGTAAAAAGTAAATTCATGATTGCTCAACCTTCCTTCTTCTGCTAGATGAAATGCTTCCCTGGCCTGAATATTTCTCATTTGTATAGCAGTAGAACTCTACACATCGTTTTTCTAACTCATTCAGCTGTCTCTTCTCAAAGCAACCTGTAGCTCCATTCAATGGAGTTTTGCCTAATAAAAGCCTAATAAATAGGAGATCAGGTTTGCTTTGCTTCCAGGTTGATCTTTTCAGCCTTGCACATAATTTTCAGGGGGAAAATCCTGTGGAGGGATTTTTTCAGTTGCTACTGTTATAGCATAAAACAGTCATCTGATCTCCGAATCTGGCAGAGGGCATAAATTCCCAAGTTCACGTTTGGGGGAAAAAGTAGTTTAATCTGCTTTGTAACAACTCATGTTCTGAGATCTAGTTTTTGTGTAAGCCAAGAATGGGAGAGGCTTGCCAGATGACAGACTGTTGTTGGAAGCACAGGTGTCTTAAAATTATGCTACTCCCCTTCTCTTCCTGAGCAATGTGTTTCTTTTTGTTTGCTTGTTTTCCATACTTTGTAGTGTCATAAAAAGCAAAATCTTTTTAAATCAGGCATGTCGCTGCTAGATGGATCATGGTGCCCATTGTCCTTTGTTCTGGTTGCTAATTTGCTTCGAAAAGCAGAAAAAAAATGGATGATTTCCTAATGTTATTATTCCGAGTACAACAGTTGTACAATATTGTACTGTCTGTGGCTATGGAGAGAGTAAAAGTTGTCCGTGAAAAATAGTATCTTGCAGAAGTACTGCTCTGGTGCATTAAAATATACAATTATGTAGTTTAGGCTTGCTGTAAATAAGACTGCTGGCATTCTTTTGGATGTGAAAGTACAATATATTTATACCATCTCAGAATGTCTCAGAGAGGCAAAATGTCTCTTTTCACACATGAAAAACAAGCTTACTTATTGCCTTAGATATATAAGTGTAAGGAACTCTAACTTCAGTATTTAATTTTGCATGTCTTTCCTTATTGCCTAGATTTGAAAACTATGGCATCTATGTTGTGATGTTCTGGGAAATTTTGAGGACTTTGATTCGGATTGCTGTCGTTTTCTTTTTCCTGATATTGGCCTTTGGACTTAGTTTCTTTGTCCTTTTGGGTTCACAGGTTAGTCAAATGGCATAGTTAATTTTTTATCATTATAAATACTATTTTTGACTAAAGAAAATCAAGAGGTTATTTACAAATTTCATTGGTTTGGATTTTTTCTTGATTGGTATTTCTTCTTTTTGCAGCAAACGTATAGCACACCTCTGCTTTCTGTAATGAAGACATTTGCAATGATGCTGGGAGACATTAATTACCATGATGCATTCCTTGATCCATTACTAAGCAGTGAATTGCCATATCCATTCCTGAGTTACACAGTTCTCATAATATTTACCTTGCTTATTCCAATCCTTCTTATGAACTTGCTAGTAAGTAAACTGCTTATTAATGTACAAAAGTGGATAAGCACAGGTGTATAGAGAATTTTTGGCATATAGAATTTCTTTAGTGCTGATTCATGGCATTCGTTCATTATTTAAAAAATTGATATTTTTCAATAAAATATTAAAAAGTTGCCTTTCCCTGGACTCATTTTCCCTCCAGTTTACTGTTCTGAGTATTTTCCCACAGTTAACTCTTACAGGGTTATCTTGTATATCTTTAGGTAGTAACTGTGATGGAATTTGAATTGGAGCTGCAATGTATCATTATGAGGTCTTGTTAAAAACAATTGGGGAACAGTGATTTTAAGAAGTACTTTGATAAATGTGTGCCTCCTAGAGTAGACATAGTCTTAGTTGTTCAACCCCTTTCTGTATCATAACCCAGCACTAACAGTATTTTTTTAAAAAAAAACCAAAACCCAGATCTTCATTGCACAAAAAACAACAGTTAGCAGTAGTGTTAAAACTAACTAATGAGCCTGACCTGAACAAAAAGAATCAGAAAACCTGGTAATGGTGAGAAAGGGAGAAAATATTTAATACGTCTACAGCCATGTTCCGTTGAACATCAATTTTATTTTTTTTTTTTAGGATATCAGGTTTTTATATGAGCTGCGCAATAAAAATCAAACAATTCAGGTTTTTAAGTTGTTTATTGCTGCCATGATCCTAGTCAATCAAGAGATCAACAAGTTTTTTAACATAACAGCAGTAATGAAGAATCAAAAAGAAGGGGTGTTATTCTTGACAAATCTTTGAAGTAGCTCTTTAATGCCTTACTGGTAGACAGATAGATGGCATTAAAAAAGCTTACTACATTTCTTGATATGGATTTTCCAAATAAGCGCAAAAAGGGTATATTTCCAAATTCAAGTGAAACAAATTTAACTTTTGAGTCAAGTCATTTTTTATTTAAATATGAATAAGATATACAGTTGAAGTCACAGACTCTGAAAAAATAGTGAAATCTTTCTTGGTGTTTTTAGATTGGTTTGGCTGTTGGGGACATAGCTGAAGTACAAAAATATGCTGCACTCAAAAGGATTGCAATGCAGGTAAGTAGCATACCATAGAAGCGCCAACTATAGGAAGTAGGCATCATTGTTAGAATACCATTGAAATAATTAGCTGATTTATCATCAACATCCCTATCTAACATCTTAGCATCTCTGTAAAGCAACTTGGTGAACATGGGCATCCTATTCTGAATCTCATTTTCAGTCGTGTGAGTCATTGTCAAGGAAATGTATAGGCAAATGCATTTTTAAGGATCTTTTGAACAGTCAGTTTGATGACTTCTGAGTTATTCCAGCAACAGAATCTCAAAATGAGTAAACACAATGTTTGAAATCAGAGAGTTGCCTTTTAAGGAGAGAATTGATGCAGTGGAAAGAAGGTTAAGGTACACAGAAATCAAAAGGACACTAAATTCATTGCAGTATACTGAAGGCTCACACTGGTCTGTGTACTGAGGAGATACCATGCAATGCCAGGTATGACTAAGGAACTTAACATGACATTTCTAAATGTTTTTAGTTACCTTAAGATATATAAAGACACCTAACAGAATTTCTGTTGAAGTCAGAAGAGTTTAGTAACCTATATGCTTTTGAAAACTATGTGCATCTTAGATATTTTCCAAGTAGCTTTTGCAAATGTAGTTCTTGCATCTTACATACTGGGGCTAGGGCAACAGCACAACTTCATAAAATTTTCATTTTAAGAAATGATAAATTTGGCACACAGTTTTTCACAAGCTATTTTTCTAGTATATCAAGCTTGACTTTCACAAGTAGAAATACCCACAGTATACACCTGTCAAATAAAGAATAAAGATTACTTCTCACTAACGTGTTCTTAGAAACTGTCTGTCCTCATGTTTCCTTGAAGTTCTGCTCAAAGTCTGTATTGTGAGAGGAGCAGACCATTCATAAAATTGATGCAGGGATTGGCTTTGCCTAAGTTCCCTGCTGGCTTTGCATTTTCTAAAAAGTTTCAGAGCCTACCTACTGGCTGAGCATAAAGAAAAGAGATATGCACAGACAGAATACCCAAGAACAATAACAGCTCAGAAATAACTTCTGGTAGTCACGTAACTTTAAAGTGTGTGCTGTACTTTTTAGTTCAGGCATATTCGAAGAATTCTCTTTTAGAATAACATCTCCTCCCAAGAGATACTTCTGTTGCTAGAGATACAAATGACTAAAGCAGAGGTATAAGGGCAGTTCTTGTAGCAGTTAATGCTTTTCACCTGTTCAGGTATTTCTTTGCCAATGGAACGCTCGGGAAGGATGTTGTCTTGCAACTTCAGACAGTACTACAAAATCTTTATTAAGCATGTAACCTTGTGTATGTTTGTCAGGATTATGGTTGTCCACAATAAGCTTATACTGTGCATCCTGTTCTTTTAGATATATATGCTCCGTATTTCTGTAGCAATTTGAGAACGACTGGAAAGGTAGCATCACCTGAAAAGGCACTCATGTAACATACTTGTTTCTACCCAAGGGAAAAATCCTTTTCTCACAGGCATTCCACTGTCATCTTAATCTATACTGACTCTGTCATAATCTAGTAAAAGGATATAGCACAATTAAAGAGAGAAGGATCACTCTCTTTCCCATTATTATTATTTGGTCTTAAAACCCATGGCTATGATAGGTATTCTGTCTTTTGAACATTTCTGCCCTGTAATTCTATACTGCAACCCACGGTGTACTAAGGAGCTCTTGAAGCCATTACACAAGAGCTAACTCAGTTTTGGAACCATTTTAGTTTTAAGAGTGTACATCTATGTGGAATAATTAATTCTGCTGAGATACTCAATACTGCTATAACTGGCTGGTTTTAGTGTCTGGGTTGGACTGTTCAAATATTACACCATTGTTTGCAGCATAGCTATCCTCTGAGACTTGGCATCTAGTAATAGTGATTTGAATATAATAACATGATGGTTATTTTCACATGATGATGTGTCTTAAGAGAATATGTCTTATTCTAAATACAAAACTATGTTTAGGTTAATCTTCACACCAACTTAGAGAAGAAGCTACCATTTTGGTTCTTAAGTCGGGTGGACCAGGAATCAATCACTGTATATCCCAACAGGCCAAGATACTGTGGATTTATGGTAAGATGGTGAATCTTAGACTAAAGAATTCTTACTAAAATGTGATATGATGGGCTTACTTTGTACACAGATTGCTAGGAACGTTGCATTAATAAGACTTAATCATTAACTGACATCAGTGGAATTGTGATTAGACCTTGACTATCTTCAGTGAAAATGATAAATCAGTTTAAGTGCAGCCTAACTTATTCAGATATAATTAGTGTCTGAATTCTCAGTGATCTGTGACTTTATTAAGCGAGACAAGCTACAAAAGTTATTCAGGCAGAAAATAGAATTACTCCCTTTTGGCATTTCTTCTTTTATTTGTTTACTTTTCATTTAAGCTGTTGTTGGTAGACTGAATTTTCTGATTAAACAAATTTTGCAAAACAAATGTTTAATGTACAAGAAATAACTTCATAACAGAAACTGTTTTCAACTTTAACACTTTGTGGAGACTGTTACTGCTCACTTATTTGGGAATTTTAATCTATTGTCAGACTACAATACCTGATTTCAGTTCTGTTCCATGTTTTGTTTAGAGCGTGTTCCAGTACTGCTTTGGGTGTGAAGACTCTACCACAGATGCACAGAGCACTGATACAACATTAGAACTGGAAGTTCTGAAGCAGAAATACAGGTATTTGTTCTGTTATTTTACTGCTGTAAAAATAAGTAGAATCAATATTACAAATATACTCCTGTTTAAAAAAGTGTTCTAAAGCCCCATACTGTACCAGAACAGTAAAATTTAGTGTATCTAGTGTCCTTAAGTAAGCTCCCTCACTATGGTAACTTAGTATTTTATATTCTGTAATGTATTACCTTCAAAATACTTGTGTGGTAGAGAAATATTTTTATCCCATGGCAGAGAAAGAGGACAGGCTTCTTTGCTCATTAATGTAAACTGAAGTAATGGGGAAAATGCATTTGCATTTCAGAATTAGAGGTTTGTGTATGGAGGTTTTCAAGGGTTATTTTAAACTCACAATTAATGTAATTCCAATTGGTTTGCAGATATACACAATCTGTAACTGACTTTCCACTGGTCCGATGGTAAATCTGCTTCAGATTGTTTCCCCAAAAATAGACTGGTGTCCTGGTTCTCCTTTGAACAAATAATCTGTTTCCCAAAGCTTTGGAAGGAATTCTCTGTACTTGCTTTTCTTACTCATGTTACCAATATATCTGTAAGAATGGTATCAGAAAAGCCTTCTGTGAATATATAGCTAGGAAAATCTATTCTTTCTCACTCTGTCTCACTCTCCCCTGCTCTTTTTTTCCTCTTTTTTTTTCTTCTTTTTACTCCTTTTTTTTTTTAATCTACTAAATTTTTGTCTCCCTGCACAGATTCTGATTGAGTATTTTTTTGCATGAAGGACTCAGCAAGAGTTGAAGGGGTGAGAATACACCCTACAGATGTAGGCAAACCATGGAATTTAACAAGTATTTCTTCAAATCCATATTACATCAGTATGTTAGGAACCAGCATAGAACACGCTCTTTTTATTTTTTCCCACAGAGAGGGAAGAAAATCATTTTATAAAATCATGAAATTATTTTTAATACAATAACTTGTGGCCATTTCACTATGGAACGTTATATTTACTGCTCTGAAAATATTGGCTGAAAACTTTTACTATGTTGCCAGTATCTTTTTATTGTCAGAGTTCAAAACAGAGTTCAATTCCTACTGTCAGTGCTGAGTGTAAATGGTTTTGGTTTTTGATTTGGGGTGGGATTTTTTTTTGCTTTATATTAATGTTAGCTGATTGCTGCACTATTTTAATTCTTGTGGTTCTCACACTTCGTAAAACATATTTACTTTATTGTAAAAAAAGAAAAAGGCAACTACATCTAAAGAAGCCCCAAACTGTTCTTCACAGAGAACCTTTTCAGTCACAATGTATATTTCATGCTGTAATTTTGTGAGTCTAGACATTCTGAAAAGTAGATTTTCAAAAAGCCTGTTTGGTGGTTTTGTGAAGACAGTTTCTAGACACATTTCCCATTTCTTTCATTTTTTCTTTAAAGATAACAGATACTGTGTTCTGTATGCATGATGCTAACTGATGTTAACTCTTTATTTGTATCAATTGCACTTTGGATAGCACTTTAAAAGAGACCAGTAAGTGCCTTATCAGTATCTCTCATATGCTGTTAAAGTAGTTGTGAAGTTCACTGTTTGAGGATGCTTAATTGCCATTGCAAATTTGACCCTCTTTTCTTACCAGACTACTTCAGTCAATAGGAAAAACTTTTGATAGAACTGTTCAGAATTTTATTTTGAGAGTGAAGTTGCTATTACCTTAAGTATATAGTAAGTTACTTTTCTCAAGAACCAGGACTTTGTCCTTTAATCCAATTTCCTGAAACCTGGAGAAGCTTGAAAAATTAAATGTACTCCAGGTAATATTCTTTGTTAGCAGAAGGGTGAAGTTGAGGACTGTCAGGTCTTTTGCATCTGTAATTTTGATGACTAAAACGTCCTTTGAAACCAAACGACAAAGCCTGTTGTATGCATAGTTTTCTTTTTTTTTTTTTTTTTTAGGCTCAAAGATATATCAACACTGTTGGAAAAGCAACATGACCTCATTAAATTGATTATCCAAAAAATGGAGATAGTGTCAGAGGCTGAGGATGAAGACAGCAATGATTTATTTCAGCACAAGTTTAGGAAAAGGCAGTTAGAGCACAAAAATAGTAAATGGGATACAGTGTTAAAAGCTGTTAAAACAAACGTGCCTAACCCAAGCACAGAAAAGAATAATAGCTTCTTCTAGACATGGCTATGATATCATGTTGTATTATCATTTTATTTTACTTTAGGGTCACTTCTCTTATTGTCTGTGCATAATGTTAATGTGATACATCATGTATTCAAGTATAAAAAAAGGCCAGATCTGAAAAGGGGATGCAGGTGCACAAAACAGTATTTAAGGAGACTGAAGATGTCTACATCCAAAACTGTGATCCTAGAAGTGGCTGGCTAATCAGGAAAGTGCCTAACTCACCAGATGCCAACCTTGCTGTCCTGACAGTTCACAAGGCTTCTGCCTAGATCTGTTCCCGGATTTGGCCCTCATACTCTTAGGTCTGTACTTAATTACATTATTTTCTGTTACGAATACTTTCAGAATTTCTGAATTTTTAGGAATTCAAACTCTAATCATTTAGTGTTCAGATGTTTTGAGAGAGCCAATGGGCTTTATGTAGCTTAAAGAAAAAGTAAGAAACTAACCTGACAGATTGCGTTGGAATTTTTGCTGAGTAAGGACTGCAGGATCAGGCCTGAAAGGTAAGAAATAAAAAGATCACAGAAATGTAAGGTAGGAGAAGGACTGTTTTCTTTTGTAGATAACAGTATGCAATTCTCAGAGGGATCATTTGTACTAGAATGCATGTAGCAACGATAGAATGACATGTTAAATATTAAGTCATTTACAACTTGCTGTCCTTAGACTGCTAATGTGATTTTGGCCTTCCTGATAACCTAAAACTGACCTTGCTACTTTAATCTGCACTTTGGTTTTATTATTTATTTACTGGATATTCAGTGCATTATGTAATATACAGTTATATATCAAATGTGGAAAAAAACATGAATTAAGCTGTGTTTAAGTACCTGAGTATATTTGTTTCAAAAACAGTGCTAATAAAATAATTATGACTATATGTGGTTGTAACGCTCTCTGGTCTGCTTTTGAATTCAGACATTTTCTTTAAGAGCTTAATATACATTAATTCTTCATGTAAAGAACAATTTTGAATCCTGTTTATTTAAAAGGTAGCCACCAGAACGTAATTCACACTGTACAGAACTTGTCCAATCTTCAGAAAACACAGGAAGATGCACTGTAAATTAGTGAGACTTCTGCCTTAAAATTGCCATGGATGACACACTCTTCAGTAGGGAAAATGCTTTCACACCCAACTGCTTTATTCCAGCTTTAAGACTTTAAACCCTTGCCTGGTAAAATAGAAAAAGGGGGAGGTTATCACTGGTTTTGCCTATTCTACTACACTTACTAAGGTGAACAGTTGCTTAATATCAAATGGCGGATGGCATCTGTAGAGATTTAGGAAGCATTTGGAGTTTCTCTTTATTAGCAAGATTCACTGATACCTTTGAATCCTGTGGCATAAATCCACACCAGTTGTAACTGAAAGATGTTTGCTGTTATAACTGAAGTTCTGTTCTGGGTTTGCCTTCCAGAGTCTGCACAGGCATTTTGCATTTAAGCGTGTCTGTAATAGTTTAATAGTTTGAGGCAGAAAATAAGCACTTGGCTACTCCATTCAAATGGCAAATTAAGGGCATAGACATACTCACTGCTGTGTGACTGTGTCCACAGGTGTGTTCCTGGGTGCCCCAGAGGTCCCATCCTTAAGTCTGCCTCTGGATCACATTCTAACTGTGCTTTTGAGATCTGGTGAGTACTGTCACTCTCGCATAGCCAGGTGGAAAGAAATGTGTTGCATGGATAGTGGAGCATAGCAGTGTCTCCAGTTTTGTCTTGACACCGAGGGGATGAGGAACGTGTGCTGCAAAGGACCCTGCATCACCCTGCAGGCTGCAGGAGGAGCAACTGTGGGCTCTGCTTCAGGGCCAATTCTGGTATGACACAGTGAAACAGGGGGAGAACCAGTAAGCAGAGTCAGAAGAAAAAAAGTAAACTTGAAGGTAACTGTAGTCACTGAAATTGCATTGTGGCCTCTAAACTCAGGTCTATTCCTGTAAATAAACTGTTCAGATTTTCTGAGCTGCTGTGCATCTGCAGCTCCCTCTGTCAGTGGAAATAGGAATGTCCAGGTTGTCAGGATAAGGCCAAACTTGAAAAATGTAAATTTTTTTTTTTTAATTCTTAAAGGCAGAAAAACAATTTTAAATTCCTGACAATCTGTACCATTAACACTAGATGGCAGTGAGTGATAACATTTTTGAATAAGTAAATTGGGCCTAAATGCATAGTTTTAAGTGAAGAGGAACAGCAGTACACTTACAGCAGAAGCGAAGTAGTCAGCATTCATAGTTTTGAGCCTTTCAAGCCTCTTTAAACAGAACTCTGAGACACTTATACACAGCAGCCTCTCAGCTTTTCTGAGCATGTAACTTACCATTTGAGAAATATTTTTCTTCCCCCCCCCTCAGGCTTCGCTTCTTTCATTCATTTAGCAGCTGTCATTATGGTGGAAAATATGGATGACCGTATCCACCCTTACCCCATAGACATCCAAAGCTGACCCTAACACCATTGCATAGTTTGCCTGCATGGTTTTGTTTTATTTTCTTTTCTGTGACATAGCCTTAGCAGGTTCACAGCCTGTTAAAATTCTTAGAAATTGCTCTTCCACAAATTAGTGTGACTGGACAGCTTGGACATCCAGTGTGGGTCTAAATCCAGTATTGGCTCATGATTAAGAAGCCAGTCCACATCATCGTATATAGAAGTGATTTTGACAATGCAGATGCTTCTGACAAACTCCACACTGTGTCATAAAACCATTTATAAAGGTAAATACATCTAAGGAGTTAAGGAAAAAATGCCGCATATAGATGGTTTACTCAGTAGTCTGTACACAAATATGTAGTTGAATAGATATTAGGATTTATTGATACATTGTTTTAGGTAGTTGCTCCTGAGTTTCATATGCATTCTCAGGCTACCATGGCCATCAGGACACACTGACAGAGAACTGGTCACTTCCATTGTGGCGACAGTAGGACTATACAAATCAAGGGTAGAAGAAAAGAAAAGTTTATGGTGGTTGGCATAGAGAGAGCACCTGTTAATTCAGCCATCCTTGGGTGCCTGCAGAGCAGGACCTTTCATGGTGCTACGCAGAACCAAAATTGGCCAGTTCCTGGAAGAAAACACAGAAGTCTAAAAAAGGTGTTTCCTGCAGTTTAAGGTAAAGATGCAAAGTTAGGACCTGGCCTTCCAGCTTAGTGAGAGAACAGTTCTCAGCAGATACAGAAATAACAGTGGATAGAAAACAGTTAAACCACCCACATGTTAATTAATATGGAAAGAAAACGCAATTTTGATCAACAGCTTTTATATGGAAAGACAGATAGAAGGTATTTTATAATTAGCTAATATTACAACATTGAATTAGTTACTTAACTTTCTATGGAAATCATCAGGCTAAAATTATTTAATTGCCATGTGATAGAAATATCTAGTAGAGTCTTAAGTACAAAAGTACAGAGCTTAAGAAACGTAATACAAGTAGTATCAATTGGAATACAACTCACAGTAGTGTTTGAAGAGAATTGTGTAGGCCGAGGTGAAGTTACTGGGCCATTTCAGCAACCTCTAGAAGCAGTCCTGTTAGTTGTGTCCATGTATGTTAACTCAAAGTGTCATCATGGGAATTTCTAAAATTCACACATGGGAATTAACATGGATAAATTCATCTGAAATTGATTCTTTCGCTGTGAATATAGTATCTGCAAACTCTGATGGGTGTAATCTCTACCCAGTCTTCTTCACCCACTTCCCTTTAATCTGCATGGAAATACCACCTGCTCTTCATTCAGGGTGTGGACAGTTCTGTAGCATACATGGTCATCCTTTCTCTCTCTCAGGAGTGTATATCGAATATTTCTGATAGTGAGGGTAAATATTCCAGCTATTTCCTGCTGCTCAGGCAGCACTGGCAATGTTTTCTCCTCAAAGCGAATGCCAGCGTGAGTCAGGCAATGGCACCATCTCCATCCACCAAAACCAGGGCATCCCCAAGAGTTCTTGCTGGGAGGTTTGATTTGTGCCTCACCTGTGTGACACACTGGAAGGTCACAGTTCGGGACAAGAAATGCTTGCAATTACTGTATGATTTGGCAGTCTGAAACAAGCTGGCAATCCTTGGCTGAAACTAAATGTCCAGATGCCTGGGCTTTCTAGTGAATGCATCAGACTCTTGCTGAGAAGGACTGACTAGCAAAGTACTTTGCCCAAGTGAATTAAAATCAGCTGGAGCAATAACATGCATCCTTATGAGAAAACCTGAAGTGCCCAAACTTGACGTGGACTAGAGTGAGACTATTTTAGGGCTGGAAACCCCAGTAGGTAGGAAATAACTTGCTTCAAGCTGTCCAGTGTGTATGTTTGTGTTCTTTATATGATCTTATGCTGCTGGAACAAAGACAGAGCCACTCTGTAAGTAAGCCTCCATCATTTTTTGACTCACATTTTGTCTCCAGAGAAACAGCTTTGCATTCCTTTTACTCTGTTGTATAATACCATTTTCTTACTGTAACATACTGAAGATGTGGCTTTGTAAAACATTTCACACCAAAATGTCATCCTTTCAGATCTCCAGACAGTACCTGCTATGTGAAAAATTGGATTCTAGAGGATAGGTAGAGGAGAATCATCCCACTGAAGTCAGCCAGGAAGGATTTTAAAACCTTGGGAGCTACATGTATTGAGGAAGAAGAGAAATCTGAATGAACAAAGTGGTGGTCCTCCTAACTGCTTAGGTTTTTGTTTTGTAAGATGAAATGCCCATAACCAGAGTGTGTAGCGAGAGAAAGAAAAGGAGGTGAGGAAGCATCCCTAATCCATATTGGAGGACCCAAGAGGAGAAAGCAGAGCCAGATTTTCCTTTAGGTTAAATGTCCTTTCACCCCACCATGTCAGTGTAAGGAATCACTTAGGCTGCAACACAGCATGCATCTTTTCACTGACTGTCCGATAGAAAGGGGTCCCACTGTGGGCAGGAATTGGGCCCATGTTACCAGTGATGAATGGAGAAAACATAGGAGTGTAGGAAACCTCTCCCTGGAGTTACGGACAGCAGCAGAGTTTTTTGAGCTTTCCTTTTGAAATGACTGAGAAGCTATGAAGGATGGCACAGGATTTGAGAAAATCTCAAAGGTGACTGCAGTCTAAAATCAATCAGCAGCAGGAAACTGGGGATTGCGAAAAACAGAAAGTTCAAACAAGCCAGTAACTTGGAGAAAAAAGAAG